CTCAAGGGAGCAATCCAGGCTAGAGATATAAATTTGGAAGTCGTCAGAGTGCAGATGGTACTGAACATCATGAGACCGGATGAGATCACCAAGGAAATGGAAATAGTTAGAAAAGAGAAGAGGACCAAAAACTGAGAGCCCTGGGGCCCTCCAGTATTAAAAGGCTGAGAGACGAGGCAGACCCAGCAAAGGAAACTGAGAGGGAAATAGTGATACTTGAGGAGAAACGTGAGTAGTGAGCGTGTACCACGTGCCAGACACCTTGCTGTGGGCCAGAGAGACAAAGACAAACGTGACTCCACCCTCACTCTTTAGAGGAGGAATCAGGGGCTGTCACCCTGAAATACCACTGTGGGCTGATCCAGAAATGGGCAGAGAATGCCAGCAACAGTAAGACCACAACCTTGGTACATCTGTGAATGATTCTTAACACACACACACACACACACACACACACACACACACACACACACAGAGTCAACCATGCTTAGCTCTTCCCAGTGACTGTTCCACTTTATCCCTTCTTTTGTATCTAATAGGCAATTAATGACTAACCCCCAGAGGATCTAACCTTATAATATCTCTTATATGTGGTGCCTCCTGTTCATTCCCTCGGCCACCAGCCTAGATGAAGTTCTCAATAAAGATCATTCCGAGTGTCTCAAATGCTCTTGAACATCCTCATTCCTTCCCTTTAGCCCTCAAATTCTTTTTACATCACTCTTCCTCCTGCAAATTCACTCTCCTGAGCAAAAGTCCCACCACCTCTAGGATGAAGCCCCCACTGCCTAAGCCCGTTATTAAAGGCACTCCACAAACTGGCACCACCTGCCCACCTGCCCAGCTGTCTCCACTCTTCCCAATGCCTGCCCTCCCTCCCAAGTGTTCTCTTCTCTGTTTCCTGGACACTCCATGTTCATGCTTGATGTCACACTTCTGCCCATGATGGAACCTCCTACCTGGGAAAGCCTACCTTTATTCCCAACAGTTCATACCCCATTTCCTCCACAAAGCCTTCCCTCCTTGCGTGGATGTCCATGTCTCTGAATTTCTGTATCACTTGAAGTCTGTATCACTCATTTTTCTATCTAGGTATATGATGGCATGAATTGTCACTAAAATACGTTCGTATTTACTAATTCATTCAGTTTTATTTGTGTGGCTTGCCCCCTCCTTTTAAGGATAAATAACTTCCAGTGCAAGGCATGGTGCTATTCTGATAATAGATTCTAAATGAATAATAGATGTTAGCTTTTCTTTAAAAGGTGAGTGAATACATAAACTATAAAACTGTGATAAAACACTTTGTTGTAAACAAGTTCTACCAAGCTCCAGGTATATAGGCATGAAAATGACTTGAATAAAATATTCATTCCTCCAATAAAGATTTATTAAGTGCTTAGTGCTAGGAATATGTTAGACACTAATGATTTAAAGATAAGTCACAATCCTAAACCTTTCCTAATGGGAAAGTCAGACACATAAACATGTAGTTCCAGTATAATCTGGCACCTGCAGATCTGCACACATCCAGGGGTGCATGGAGGAGAAGGCTTCCTGGAGGAGGTGACACACGTGCGATTCTCAGAGGATGAGTACTTGGGTACAGTGAAACTTGAGTAGGAGGAAGAGCAGTGTGGGCAAGAGGGCACAGCGTGAGCACAGGGGCAGAGGTGAGAAACAGCATGGGGTGTGTGGATGGGGAGGCCAGGTCATGGAAAGCCTTGTATGTCCTGTGAACCTTACCCTGTGGGTGGTGCCAGCGAGGTCCATGTATTAATATAAAAGCCATGGAAGGGTTTCTGTATAGAAAGAGCATGATCAGATTTGCATGTTTGAACACTTACGCAACCTAAAAGATGGGTTTGAGAGGGACTAGAGTTGGATGCAGAGAAACCAGTTATAGACCATTCCAGTAGACCAAGTAAGAGATGCTGAGGGCTTGGATTAAGTTAGGGTGGAGAGAGCTGGGTGGAGAAAGGAATCTGAATTCAAGCATCGATGTGGGGCAAGAGGCACAGGATGCAGTGGTGCAGTAGCTGCGGCAGCCCAGCTGATGGGATAGGAGGAGCCAAAGATGACCCTTTCTTCTGGCCCGGAAGATCGGGTGAGCAGTGGGACACCCCCTGGAGCAGAGACAGGGGAAGAAGGCCTGGCTGTCGTGGAGATGGTGAGTTCAGTTTGGGCCATCTGGAACTTGAAGTACCCCCTGTACCTCATTCGAAGTAGTCCCCTTACGTGGTCATTATGTTACTCAAATGGTGCTATCATTCTTGGAACTTTTCAGGGACTTCTCAGAAAACCATTATCAAAGCCATTTCATCAGTTACATAAACTAGACATGCATTTTATAGGCATGACTCTCTTTTTGGGAAAAAAATAAAGAATGGAGGGACAGGGGGAGAGCAGGCCACTGCCTTGGGATGTGCATTAGTTTGTATTTTTCATAAAAGAAATAGAAATAAAAATTTTATACTTTTCAAATAGAAAGTCACTCCATATTATGTTCTAGTCATCTCTATGACTAGACTGAAGTCATTATGAATTTTGGCTATTTCTAAAATCTACACCCCTAATGATGTAGTCCTGGGGTCCCAGGACTATGGAAGAGAGCATGCCTCAGACCTGAGGGATTTCCACAAGAGCAGCCACGGACGTGACAGCAGTGTGGATAGAACTAATGTGTAGCCTCCCAAGATCACTACGCCCAGTGACTACATGTGGCCAGATGTCTTTGTTCTGATGTGATGATTAAGAAGCCTGTTGTATTTCTCTATTTGCAAGAATTCTCCAAGAAAAGGGTCTCTTTCTTCTCTCCTGAGACAGACACAAGAGTTTGCCTTCTTTGTATTATCTCTGTTTTTCATAAAACCTGGGACCCAACTGAGTTTTATGATCTGTCTTACAGGGTTGACCTGTAGACCTTGGGCCCCAAGCTTGCTTACATGGCTCTGGGCAGGAAGAGAGGGGCACAAATTGAGCTGTAAAAGTCTCTATAAGACAGAAATCACTGAATTGGCCCGCAAGATAGCCAGTCTTGAAATAGACAGTGTTGTGACAGAATACACAACACATAAGCTCAAATCCAAATTCCCCAGGCAATATGCTATAGTTAGGATGGGAGAGCAAGTATAATCTGTCACTGCTGTGTTCTCCCATCCCACAGAGGAGCCCAAAGGCCAGTAAGAACTGGTCACAACCAAAATGATTATATGATTATAACTCACTCAAACAATGCCTGTTCCCTTTTATACAGTAAGAAATAATTACCTGGGGGCTACTACCCCCAGCTACAGTAGCATATGTAGCAAAATGAGCTCTGTCTGACTTTCTGCATTAGATCAATTCCTGACTAGTGTCTGCCAACCATGATGTACTACAGTTTTCCCCATAGTTGTCAAGGGCATGGAGACCAGAGAAAAGGCTGTTGGTACCTGTGGCTCACCTCCTCCCCAGGCAGCCAGGCCCTGCCTTCACTTCAGGCTCACTGGCATAGGAGCTGCTGTGGGGGGTGGGGGCAGCAGAAGGCAGTGGACAGGGTCCCCAGGTCCCCATGTGACCATTAGGGATGCTGAGATGTATTCAGTATCAACTTGACAATGCAGCTCCCTTTTAGACCACTTGTGTAAAGCCCAGCAGGATCTTCTGTCACTTCATAGGAGGAAGAACTTTATATCAGACAAGGCCACTGCCTCTTAGCTGATGAATGAAGCAGTCTCATTCCATTCCTTAATTATTTAATTCTAATGCATTATTACCAAGCGTCATCCCTGCCCCCAGGAGTAGAAACATGGAGAATGCATAGCCAGGCTCTGCTGACTAAACACCGGCTCTCACCAGGGTCCAGTCCAGCTCCCCACGGCTGCTGTGGGAGCTGCTAGCTCATTGGACAGCCTGAGTCCCCTCCACTGTGGCTTCCTCAGGCACCATGTAGGGGCCCTGCAGGAGGCAGTATGATAGAGTGGTCAAAAGCATGGACTTTGGAGTCAGACAACTCCCAGCTCCACCCCTTGCCATCTGCAGGACCCTTGGCGTGTACCTCAACATCTTTTAAGACCCCATCTCCTCATGTGTAAAATGCAAATAAAAATTGATTTATCTTGTGGACTATTTTGAACATTAACTGAGATAAGGTAAAGTACTTAGGGCAGTGTTTGGAATAGAGTAAGTACTCACTAAGTATTAGTGGTGGTGATGATGATGATGATGATGATGATGATGATGATGATGACTGGCAACAGTCTATGGCAGGGGGAAAAGACATGGTACAAGGTCAGAGGCAGCCAAGAAGAGTAGGCAGGTACCAGAATGGCAAGTTTGCCAAACTTAGTAATGAGGCTCCCAGGCTGGACGAGGAGGCAATGGGAGAGCAGTGTGTTAGGGACTGTGAGCGCCAGCCTGTAGTGTAACTGTCACATCCAGGTGGCTTCCAGCAGATGACCGTTACCTCCCTGCATTATCATTTTCTTTGTCTCTGTTTTCTAAGCACAAGAGTGACTGATGGCTAGAATTTAAACAACTCTCTTTGTTGAGTAGAAATTCTACTGCTGTGGTTTCCTAAGAAGTTAGTATAACCTTTTCTTCCTTCCAAGTCCATCAAATTTCAACCACCATCTCTTCCCAACACACAAAGCTTACACTCATACTTCCCAAGAAAGTGGTTCTTGCGATGGAATGCCTCTAAATGTCTGATTACTGTCATCCCAACTAATTGATGTCTCTTTGTGGCCTCCCAACTGCCTCTTTGAACTTCCTGCTCTCAACTGGGTCAGCCATGGTTTTATTTAACTTGCTTTTGGTGTTGCTTTTGTTATTTTTGTTTTGATTTGTTCTCATTTAATCCTGAAACAGCACAGCATAGAACTTTTTGGCCTGCATTCTCCCTCTGAACGCCCCATTTTGCCCAAGTTGACTATGTTAGTGAGTGGTGGGCACCTCTCCAGCTTTTGAAAAATTCATTCAGCCTCTTCTTTTCTTGTGCATCTCTTCTGCTTTGCCAGGTCAAGCTGGGAACTGCCTGACTTGAGGGAAGGGAGAGTAAAAGCCATCAGTGACTCAGATGGGGTGAGCTACCCTTGGTACGGGAACACCACAGAAACTGTGACCCTGGTTGGCCCCACCAACAAGATCTCCAGGTTCTCCGTCAGCATGAATGACAACTTCTACCCCAGTGTGACGTGGGCGGTGCCTGTGAGTGACAACAACGTGCCACTGCTCACAAGAATCAAGAGGGACCAAAGTTTCACGACCTGGCTGGTGGCCATGAATACCACCACCAAGGAGAAGATTATTCTGCAGACCATCAAGTGGAGGATGAGGGTGGACATTGAGGTGGACCCTCTTCAGCTGCTGGGGCAGCGGGCCCGGCTGGTGGGCAGGACTCAGCAGGAGCAGCCCCGGATTCTGAGCCGGATGGAGCCCATCCCCCCGAACGCACTGGTCAAACCCAATGCCAACGATGCCCAGGTCCTTATGTGGAGGCCCAAGCGAGGGCCACCTCTGGTTGTGATCCCTCCTAAGTAGAAGCAGACTGGCCTGACTGTGTGGAGCACATGCCCCCGAGACACGCAGTGAGGGTGCCAGGGGTGCCAGGAGCCAAACTGAGTTTCTGAGCCAAAGCAGACCTCTTGGTTTGCCAGCCTTTGCAGCCACTTGTGAGGAGAAGGGCTGCTCCTTGGGTGGTAGAACCACAATCCTTAGGAAAAGTTTCTTCCTCTTAGGAATAAAGAAATCACTGATTTGACAGACTTGCCGTGATTACCATGCAAGTAGCCATATTTTGGAGCTGACCAGGATGATTCTTTTATCTGAACTATTGACCATTTCTTTCCTGTGAGATGCAGGGGATGGAAACAAAATGAAACAGTGCCTGTGGCAAATGCTGCTTCCCAACCAATTAGAAGAAGGAGTGAAAACATCCACACCAGGTGTTTGTAAGACAAGACAGCCCTGCTGTCTGACAGGAGGATGTTGGGGAAATGGGTGGAATGAAAGTCAAGTGGTGAAAGAATGGGGGATGGGGAGAGGAAAGAATAAGTTGTTATTACAAATTACTACCTGTGCATTTATTAGTTGATCCTCAGGTCTTCAGCACACTCCCTGGAATGAACGGAACGCTCAGAAAACTGGAGAAATGATAACTTGCTTCATTCTGAAGGGGGAAAAGCCTCCTCGGAACTGTCCGTGGTGCTGATGTGAACTGACCAGTGGAGATTCCCATTGGTTCCATCTACCCACCCCTTTCCAAAAAAGATTGTTTATGCAGAGTATTTTTAATCACAGTATTTGGATATGTAGTTGCTGTATTCTGCAGCAGCTATGGTATTTGGGACCCTCATCATGTTTTTAGTGAAATCCAAACTGTGATTTTGCTTACAGCTGCTTATTCTCACCCCATCACCAGCCCTAACTTTACAAAAAGAAAATTTATAAGCCATGAATCCATGCAGGGTTTCACAAACATTTCAACAAATAAGAACAGTATTTTTATTCTTTTTCTTTTTAGTTTCTGAATTATTTAAATGTGGAGTTCACACAAAATATGCGTGCGCACTCACACCAGGATGCATTCAGCATGATTGTTAGCAGATTTGCCAGCAATGCTTGCATATGTACCTGTAGCCTTTGTATGTACACAGTACGTACACTGTGCATCCATATGTTTATTTTAGTTCTATTAATATTTCACAGAAGCTCGACTTGAACTTCTTGAGCATTTGTAAGAAAGTGCTTCATAAGGCTAAACTTTAGAGCCCTTTAATGAAAATCTGAGCTACTTACATTAAGAAATCTTGTACTGCCAAGGTCCAACCAATAAAGATGAGAGGCTAGGTTTCTTTTAGTCAGACCAATACAAAACTTTAAAGTTTTCAGTCTTTACAATGAGGATTTTTCTAGCTCTTCTAGCTTGAATCAACCCTCCCCCCCCCAAAATAACAAGAGCTTTCTCCTTTATTCCCCATGATGCAAACTGTGAGATTTTTATATAGATATAGATATAAAATCATATTATATATAATCATATATATATATGTATGATTCCTTATTCAAAACCCCTCATGCAAACTAATTATAAATTTCTCACAATGCCATTGTGTACTTGATGAGTAGACAACAGCCAGCCTAATTTCAGAGATGAGAGAGTTATGGTTCAGAGCAATTATTGCAATCTCATGATTGGCTCCAAAGATCTGTCTTCTACCAGAGTTTGAGGATAGAGAATAAAAGGCAGGAGGACTTGTTTATTGTTTTTATTAAAAATGCAATTTAGTTGAATTTATTTCAGGTTCTATTCCCAGGGGATGGTACTTATTTACATAAGAGTGCTAACAGATTCACTCCAAATTATGTAGTGTTAACCTCACACTCCAACCATCAACTGCTCTGTTAAAGATTAGTTATTGATGGCAAGTTATTTATGACAGCACATTAATGACACACCAGTGACTCACAGAAGACCTGGAAACATTCCATCTAGAAATAATTCAACTGTTACATTTGGATTCCTCTGTCCCTTTTGTTTTTTTATGGGAGAGGTAGCCCCAAAGAGCTCCACGGCTGAAATGTAAAGCTGCTTATTTTCTACGTTGACATCAGAAACAGCAGTCTCTCCCTTGAATTAGATGCCACCCTCATGGGATTCAGGGGTGTGTAGATACTTATACTGGAATTTTATCCATGTAAGCCCACTTTAGCCACTTCAGTACCGCGCTCATCGGCGGCAATGCCTTGCTCACAGCCGGCACTCATAGTCCGCACGATAGTTTGTGCTGTGCATGGATGACGAATCCATTTTGCTCTTGTGTGATGAGAAAAGCCTTAAAGCACTGAAAACTTGTTTTACTTTACAGGCAGCTTTACTTGTAATGTAAATCAGAATAGGTAACATATACATATATGTTTTCATTACGTTATTTTTAAGTGTTCACAATTTTATTTTGATAAATGAAAAATTAGAAAAGTCATATCATGGCTGTCGGCTAAAGTCACTGTGCACATTCATCTGTGGCTATCGACTATAGTCAACGCTGGTACCGAAGTGGTTAAGAAAACCTGATATTTAAAAATCCAAAATTGTGATGAACACAACAACAGATTAAAAAGAAAGGATTTGCATTACAAGATCCTATACAAGATTTCTGTTTTCAAATTTCCGTGGCCTTTTTAAAATAAGATATGACTTAACATAATTATATTTACATGTAACATAATTTTTCAAAGGCATATCTGTATTTATAAAGCAAGGTGCAAACATACTTAGCTAGACTTGTTCCCCCTGAAAAAAATCACACTTTTCAGAGTTTTAAAAGAAATTACTCCAAGGCAGTTTATTGGGAAATTATATAATGACAAAATGAAAAAAAGAGAGATCGCAAAGTGCTTATAAAAGTTAAAAGCACTATGCAAGTATACATTATGATTATTGTCATTGATAGTATTGCAAACTCTACAGTTGAGTTGCTCAGTTCTGAAATCAGCCTGTCAGAATGCTCTATTGCGCTATAGCCAATTATTTTAAAGTTATCATCGTTTTACAAGGAGATGACCCCTTTTGTTCCTGTGACTTATGGATCATTACCTTTCAGCTTAGGATATTGTCAAATGAAAGCCTCTCTTAAAAGAGAGAATTGACCTTGAATTCTCTGTTGGGGTCACCTCCATCCTCTTATCCAGCCTTCCTTCCCCTCAAAGTGCCTGCATCTGATATCAGATGCAAAGGGGCTCATTCAGTGCCTTGATTAAGTTTTAGTTGGGTGGTCTCAGGACTATATTTAAATTCTGCGCACACACACACACACACAGGCACATACAGAGTTTCTTGGTGGCACAAGAGTTTTGAATTCCTGTGTAAGACAAAGCATTCCACCAGGTCTTAGATTTTATATCAAATCACCTTCGAGGTCTTTTAGTACATGATCTCAAAGGAAATTGAGGCCCAGTTAAATTAGGTCATCTATTCAGGGTCACACACCTAACTGGCAGAAGAACTAAGAGAAGGCCCCAGGTCTCCAAGTCTTATCTCACAGCATGGTCACACTTACCTGTGACCCAGAGCCTCTTCTTGTCTCTAGCCAAAATATCATCACCATCCCTGAACCATTCATTCACAAACCAATTACTCGAAATACTAGAGACAGTTGGATCCATCCTTTAAAGAACAAGGGGAAATCCTTATTACTATTATGTCCCAAAAAATGACTGTTCCAGATGCCCTTTTATCTGTAACAGCTGTTTTGCTGTTGGACCCTTAATCTGGGCTCTCTGCTGCATGCATTGTACATTGCTGGGTCATTACCATGGCCCCCAGCAGGTGGGAAGGTTGGAAGCTAGTCCCCTATCTGCCTCCCTTTGCAGGAACCTTTCTGCAAATCCCTCTCTCCTGTCACTGGGAATAGTACCTCATAGGTCAAAATCATGTTCTAAGCAGCAATTCTGAGCAATAAAAATAACTGTGATTTACAGAGCATTTTACAAGAGGCTTCCACATGCATTTTGTCATCCCCAGCCATTCAAGGAGTGTGATACTGTTGTTATTATTATCCCCATCCGCAGATAGTACATTGAGACCAAGAGGTTAAGTGACATGTCTGCTGGCACACAAACAGGAAATGTCAGGAGCCAGGATCCAAAAGGGGCCTTTGGGCTCCAAATTCCCTGTCCCTCTGCTACGCTGGGATGCCTTTCTACCTACAGGGCACAAAAGGGCAGGAAGGAAAGGAGAAAGCAGTCACCTTCGCCTACACAGGCATGTAGTCGCTACCACTCTATTAAGTGGACACATCAAAAATAAGAGAATGAACACTGTTTCCTTACGCAGAGAGCCTTGTAGTCCTCAGGGACATCGGCCCAGAAAAATGCCTGCCAGGGGCTGCAGTGTGGGTGAGCCGGCTGTGAGTCACCAGCGCTTAGCGAGTCCTGGTAATTAGTGGAGTGGGAAATCTGCTCCCCTGGTCTCAGAATCCCTTAACCACCACAAGCACGAAAGGGGGAGGAAAGCGTGCGTCCCGCAGCTGAGGTCCCAGCTGAGCAAGGTCCTGCCACCCGCTGTCGCTCAACACGGCAGGAGAAGCCTGTAGGGCAGAGGCAGTGGAAACAATGGGTTTCCAAGCTCTGGTTGGCACATCGAACGTTCTTGTTAGAACTGAGGGCACAATTAAACGTTGCCGGAGCCGGCTCCCAACTGAGTTGCAAAGAAAGATGTAAACACACATACACACACGGAGACCCACCACACACACTCTTCAGGCTGAAAAGAAAATTAATCAAAAGCCCAATGAACGCCTGAACTCTATAATTAAAGCCTAAATGATCCTTAGATAGAAAGGGAGCTGAGTGAGCAAGCTCTGTGCACACAGATATTTTTACCCTAGAGTCGTATTGCCATTAATTTCTTTAGAGATCTTGAGGACATCTGGTTCTAGTTTCCCCGGTAGGACATCTGCCTAGGGAAGGCCATTGGGAGAGTTGCCAGTTCAGTGGCCAGAGGACAGCCAAGGTTATTTGGCCATTCCAGACACTTTTATAGGCATGCATCTGGGAGATGGCGTGCCATTCCCCCCACCCCAGGTCAGCCATGCACCCGCCCATGACAGATCCCATCTCTAACCTCCGTCTGTCCCAAATCCCTTCCATGTGTAAATACTTTACAGTTCACAAAGGGTTTTTACTTTCCTTTGTGTAGAGTAAAATGCATCTCTGTTCAAGGCGGGAAATCTTAGTGTTGGCCTGGTCCTTCTGTCATCATTACTATTAATAACAACAGCTCCCATTTGATGAGTCTGTTACGTAGCACAGACACAAATACTTTGTCATTTTATCCTCAACAGTCCCGAAAGATTGTCATTATATCCCCGTCTTATAGTTGAGGAATTTGAAGCAGAAAGCTCAAGTGCCTTGTCCAAAGGCACTGTAATTCTAGTGGTGCTCTAAGGACTTGAGCTTCTCTCCATTCTCACAGAACATTCTCTCCCCTATTAAATGCAAACACTGTTCTCTGCTTGTCCGGCCGCTGCTGTTGCTCACGCAGGGCTGACAAGGAGAGGGAGTCTTCACGGGGCTGCCCTAGCTGATACCCTGGGTGCATGTTAACAAGACAGAATGAATTCCACTGAGGAGTCTGGGCTCGACTGGCCCAGACTCTGTGTCTGCAGGTGATTTCTCTTCTCTCCCAGAGAAGGGAGGCCCACCTAGGTACTCTGAGCAAGGAGGCCAGAGCCCAGGAACTGAGCATGACTTGAGATCTTCTGGACCCAGCTGGTAAGCTGGACTTGAGCAAATAATTTAACTTACCTGGGCTTGACTTTCCTCCTCTGTTAACTGAGAGACTAATACTGCCCAGCCAACATCTCAGGGAAACCTAGTTTTCCTGCCACGTGAGGCCTGGCCTCTGTGGAGATTGGTAGGCTCTGAGCGGCCCCAGCCACCTTGCTTGTTCAGGGAGGCCTGAACCCTGGTGGCCAAGGAAGGAAAGAGACTGTTGCAAAGCCCTGCAGGAAGCAGCTCCAGGAAGCATTTGTAGCTGGAACTCTCAGAGGCCTTTTGGAAAGGAAAGGAGGCTGAACATCAGTTCTGGGCCAGACTCGAAATCCCAGCACAGTTTGCCTAGTTTAAAGCTGACTAGAAAAGCCAGCCAGGAACGGCTACGTTTTTCCTGTCATGGGCTCAGGCAGGAGATAACAGAGGAGAAGATTCAAACCTGCATGTGGGTCTTGACTGGCCTATCTATCCTTAGATAGTTTTTGACCACCCAGATCTTGGCTAGGACCCCACATTACCTAGACATGAAGTTACAGATTTGGTCATGTGGGTACAAATAAAATGAGGAAATACTTCTTCCCACCCTGCAGCCCAATGGGCTCTCTCACCACACTCAAGGCATATTTGATGATGGCCCCTCTCTCCGCACCTGCCTCAGTGGCCCCATTCTCCACGGCCCCACCTGGCCTAGCCACAGAGTTTGCCTAGGGCTGCTCCCCAAGGCCCTCCTGTCCCTACATCCCAGCTGTGCCTTTCTCCAGCTGGGCCTGGGAGTGGTCCCTGAGAGCAGCTCCTCTCCCCAGGACAAATGTGAAGCCAGGCCTCTGGGAAGCAGGCCATGTGGCCCAGCATAGCAGCCCTCCTCTGCCTCCAGGCCCACGTTTGTCCTTGCCTAACCCAGGAAGCATGGGTTGATCCTTACAGCAGCTGAGTGCTGGGTCCAAAATGCCTGGGAGAAGGGAAAACAGACGTTAGAATCACAGCCACTTGGGGAGAGGGCAGAGACACAGCACGACTGGTGCCACACAGACCTCGCTGGGTGCTGTGAGGGGGTTGGACGTGAAGTAGGTGGAGGACGAGATCGCCGCTCTCTGGCTGGTCTCAGGCTGGCTGAGGGCCGGCATCACTGCATGGGGTGGGGAGGAGATAGAAAGGAGGCCTGGCTTTGCTTCATGCCAGGCCAGAGACTGGGTGAGGCAAGCGAGGCACCAGGGTGCAGGGTGTAAGAAGGCCCTCACTGAGGCCAGGTGGGGGGCTCACACCCATAGTCCTGGCACTCTGGGAGGCTGGGGCGGGAGGATCGGTGGAGGTCAGGAGTTTGAGAGCAAGAGTGAGACTTCCATCTCTACTAAAAATAGAAAAAAACAGCCAGATGTCGTGGTGTGTGGAGGCTGAGACAGGAGGATCACTTGAGCCCAGGAGTTTGAGGTTGTAGTGAGCTATGATGACGCCACTGCACTCTAGCTGCGGTGACAGAGCGAGACTGTCACTCACCCTCAAATGTGCGCATACACCAGCCCTGCGCTTGCCCTGCCTGCACGAAGGAGCCTCCTTCAGTGTGTCGCCCCGGGCACCCGCCTTGCCCTAGTCCCAGCCCCTCACGCCTGCCTCCAGCTCCCTGCTTTCTGCGCAAGAGGAAGAGAGGAGAGGGGAAGCACTGTGGGATCCCTCTGAACGCTTATTCTGTCTAAAGTCTTTGCAGTGGCACCTCCCGTGTGCCAGGCTGAGCAGTGACTGCCCTCGCAGAGGCGGTACTCACAGGGAGCTCTGGGAGCCACTCATTCCCCCTGGGGTCACACATCACAGGCAAGCCTGGGACCTCAGAAAGTGTCCCCCTTAGTTCTTCCATGCAGCACATCAGCCAGTCTGCCTGTGAGGGGGTGTTGCCCTCCGTGAGGGACAGGTAAGGTGACAGGGCAGGACTTCCGTCAAGCACTTTGAGCTCCTCCGAGGCAAGGCACCGGGGAAAACCCGCCGTGTCCATGCCTGCGCAGGCACTCGGGATGAAAGGACCAGCTGGTTATCTCTCCATCTGCTCCTGTCCCTTCACCCCGCCCTTCAAACCAATTACAATATTCCACACAGGCGCGATCCAATGAAATGTTAATTGGAAAAATAACAGGAAAGATAATACATGCACTTCAGGCTGAGAACTATTTCATTAAACTGGGCTTTGAAAGCAAGACAGCCAATTAAATTATTTCCCACTTCACTCCCTCACGTACCAGAAACTATGGAAAGCTATTACTTCTAATTAATTAGGAAAGAAAGAAAGACTCTGCACATGCATATCAGATGAACAGAGGCCGGGAGGCTACCCCACCTACCTCTTGTGTGCACACACACACATCAGGGAACTAAAGACTCATCTCCCGTTTCACCTAAAGAATTTCATGGCTCTTCTGAAACAGCAAGGAAGTACCTGCTCCCAGGAGCCGCCCACAAAATCAAACAAAGGAAAATGCCTTCTTTGGGCACATTCATCAGGAGGGAAATAGGGCATTTGTTTTGAAAGGACAAACAACTTTAAACTTAGTTGGATTCCAAACCTTTTACGGCCAAAACAATCTTGTCTTCTCCTCTTTAGTGAAGAAGTAGGCATTTCCAAGCCAGTTCTCTATATCCAATGAGACGTTCATTTGCACAGGACGGTCTCATGGACCAGGGGACCTGAGACCCCTGAGGCTGGATTTGTGCTTTATGTGGGTCTGATGGCGACTGCCTTTGCGACCTTCACTTTTCCGTTTGTGAAATAGGAAGAAGGCTGATGCTTCCATCAGTGCCATGTGCACCCTCTCAAAGTCTGCAGGCTTGCGAGAGCACATTGAGAGCTCTTAGCCTCCTGCCTTGCCTTTGAGAAAACTAATAGACAAAAATCCAACCGTGCAGTTAAAATATTTTCTGTACAAAAAAAAAAATATATGCTACCCCAAAGGAAGCCTTACTGTATAATAAGTATAATAGAATTAATATAATATAAAAACATAGTGATGAAATGGTGATCGTATGAAGCAGCCACCATGGCGATGTGACTTTTGCACACAAGCATCTTTCCAGTGTGGTCTGTGAGCAGCAAGCAGACTCTGAGGCTGTCCCGAGGCCTCTGCACACCCCCATCGTGCCCCACTCGTTCCACTGTCCCTGCCGTGTCTGTCATTCTGTGACATGCAAAGGATCAAGGGCTCAGTGCCTCTGACCAGTTCTGACCAATCTCATTATTGCAGAAAGGGGAATGGGCACTTACTGACACCAAAGAGCAAGGCAGCCATCCCCGAGCACAGAGTATACAGAGGAACATTTTCTAGAACGGCTTCGAGGCCAAGTCCCTGTTTGTATGTGTAATGGGGTCGTCTACTAACTCCAAACACTTGGGACAAATTTCTTTGACCATCTACACAAGAATTTGAAACCATGCATAAAACCTGAAAAAAGCAAATTATGTTAATTTGTAATCATAAATTTGTGCCATTACAGCGGAACATCCCTGTAGGCAAACACAGTACTTAAAAAATCCGAAGATGCAAACAAGAAAAGGATCCGGGAAGAAAGAGGAGAATGCCCCGTGCTTGGCTTGCCTCACAGCAACTCCCTTCATATATTCAAAAATGCTTTTTTTAATTTTATTTTAAAAATTGACTTCACCCACTACTTCTTTTAGGACCACAACTCTTAATAAAAAACAATATATACAAGAACCCACAAAAAATAGTGGCAACAAGTTTTCTTTGTAGAGAAAAAATTGATTGACAACTTCAGGGTGAAGAATAAAGACGCACATTCAAGCAGTCAGTTTGGGCACAGCAGGCGTGAGGGCCCACGCACAGGAATGCCGGGGGAAACTACAGGGCTCGGGTTGGCAATTCCTACAAATTCATTTGTGCTTTGGATGCTGAGAACAATGCCATAGGGGTCTGGAGTCCTCACCCATGTCCATAGGTCCTTTTGTGCCTTGCTAATGGGTTACACATTTAAATGACCTGGAATCCTTTAAGAATTTTTAGTTTCTAATCTTTTTAAAGAACCATAGGAAAATTCTAGACTCTCTTTATAGGGGAGTGCATATAAAAATAATTACCAAAAATTTTACATAAAATTTCAGGGCCATTTCCCTCTTAAAGTTTATTTATGAAGCCTACATTGTGAACATCTGCTTTTAGGGAATGACATGTCTTTGATCACTGTCTCAGCGCCCGCTCTATTTACATGTTTCCATATCCACATGCAGGTCTCCCAGTAGGACAAGGCAAGCCCAGCAAGCAGAACCACATGGCAGAGACTAAGAAGGACGAAATGAGCAATGGCTGGCGGCTCCAGAAGCTGAAGCCCTGGACAGCTGAGTTCCCATTAAAACGAGTGCCACCGTCCTGCCTGTGTCCTCGCCATCCTCCCGGCCACGACCAGTACCTCCCACCCTCCTCCGTGTGCCACGCGGCACTCACCGTGGGCTGACCGGGCTGCCCGCTTGGCTCATGGGGAGCCATGTTGAAGTGGGAGTGGTGCCTGCTGTATCTTTTTGTGCGTGGAAAGATGGGGTTCATTCAGATCTCCAGTCCATCCCCGACCCTCGAAGGGAAGCCTCCCAGGGATGAAGAGCTTGGTCAGCCTGGACTTCAGATACCTAACATGGCCCCACCTTGGTTCCCAAACTCTGCCTTCCCTCTCTGCACTTTTGGGTGGGAAACAGAGGGAATTGTGTATCTCCCCTCTTATTCCCTTCTCCACGTGGGCGGCCAGTGTTGACACTCCCTGATGGTTTCTCAAAGGTCTCTGATCCTTGGAGAGCCAGGGCCAAAGCAGTCCTCTTTCCCCTCCCTCATCCAGGCTGCGTGCCTTCAGGTGACCAAGAGCAGAGTGAATGTCCCCAGATCAGCGGGGTGGGGGGGGAGGACCACCCTAAGAGGGCAAAAATGGTGTGCGTTGTTTTATGTATTAGTTTATTTATTGGCTTGCTTACTGATTTATTTATTTATGAAATAAGTATTCATTAGACAACAGAAAATCCGCTTCCAGTTTTGAAGCATCAGCCCCAGAATTTGTCTTCTTGGCCCCATAGAGCACAGTGAATCATTCCCCGTAGAAGCCACAGAAGAAAGGGGGAGAACTCTCTCCCTGTGCCTAAACACCTCCATCCCAGCCAGATTTTCAACCACAAATGGGATTAGAAACCACCAGCCAGTGAGGCCGTAAAGCCACACAATCAGTAGAGGCTCGACTGTCCAGACAGAAGCTGTCAGAATCCTGCCCCGCCCACGCCCTCCTGCCCGCCCTCCCCTCCTCCTCCTCCTCCCTCCAGCGGGCTGCAGCCTGACCGTTCGGAGCAGGACTTCTCATTCCACTCTGGCACGATATTCTTAACACAAGATGCACCTTAGAATCTTCTGAGGAGCTTCAAAATATCTGTGCCTGGTCCTCTCCCCAAACCAATTACAGCAGAATCGTTAAGGGTAGCGCATAGGCATGGCTGTTTTTCAAGTTACCCAGGTGACTGCAATGTGAAAATAGGGTTGAGAAGTGCTTCTAGTGTCTTCTTTCCTCTGCCTCTCCCCACTGCCCAGACCCCCGCATCCATTAGTGCCCACGCCTCCTCTGGAGTCCTGTTCCCATTCCTCCAGCCCCTCCTCCCCACCGAACTTCCCCATCAGCTCAACCCACCCGAGCAGATCCCTGGAGGGGCGGCAGGTCCCATGAGTCATACCCTGAGGCTGGCACCTGCACTGAGCTTGGAGGCTGGTCCTAGATGATTTCCAGCTTTGCTTAGTGCAGGAACCTGTCCCCTGCCAGATTTTCTGTCCACCTGCCCCTCCTCTAGTCTCCCAGACTCCAAAAGTTTAAAGGGTACTTCAATAACATTCTGGTCTCCAAGTCCCCATACTGATGGTAATGTCTGTGCCAATCTTTCTAACGCAAGCCTTGGCCATTTCTGCAGAGCCACCTGAGTTGAGTGAGGGTCTACTGGTAACAGAGGAAGGGGTCACAATGCCCTCAAGCCAGTCCTTTCCCCAACAACCTGGCAGCAGCCACTCTGCATCCAAATCCTCGATGGCTGAGAAGAGACATCTCACCCTTGACACTTACGAGATCTCCACTGCGGAGTGTGAGTAAATGTGTGTGAGTGTGTGTGCGCATGTGCACACGCTACCTACATACAAACCGTCTAGATCTATAGCCATGCTAGACTTTACATATAATTGCATTTTATATGAAAACAATCGAGGACTTTCGTTGTCTTTCACTCAGTGCAGTTTCACATTCATCATGGGCCCAAGTGAATTCTGAATTAGGAATATACGCAGAATGTTGTAATAGATGCAAACTGTCACACACACACACACACACACACAGCCCTAGGGAAACCTGTGACGTGGGACGTGTTCACATTGCTCTCCCACCTCCCCGATGTAAGTGGTTTCCCAGGGAAAGTATTACTACTTCACACACTCCCCGCAGCTGCCCGGCCACTGACCCCACATCCCATATGCCACTAGCCTTCTCTCCCCAGAATGTCCCTGCCCTATGTCCCATCTCTCAGGGTCCTATTCTCTGATAGGTGACAGTTCAGTCAGTGGGTGCTAAAGAGTCGAGTGTTACCCTTCCCAGGTGACCGTTTACGTTTTAACAGGGGCTATAGATAATGCCTTAATCTGAAGGAGTGGCTCTAGTGGTGGGAATTTCAGGCACAGAAGTGGGCCAGGAAGGGAGATTACTTTTTATCAGGAGGACATTATAGAGCCCCTGGTCATGCCTGTCTCTAAGATCAGCCCTTCATACGTGCACGAGCACGAGCAAGCACACTTACCTATGTACACCTTCCATTATTGTCACACACCTCCCTTACATTGGCCCTATCTTTAAAAATGAAAAACAAACAAACAAACAAACAAAAAGGAACCAGCTAAATTAATTCAAACCTCACTGGGAAATGTAGCCTATTTTTTTGCCGGCTGCCAGCCATCTGGCCCACCCCACCCTGTTGAATTTCCCTTCTGCTACGAACATATCAGTTCATTTCCTGGTACGTGTCCCCTCTGCTCTCCCCCGAACCCCCTCCCGCGATGTATTTCCTCCGTTTACTGTTTCCCCCTTTGGAATTGTGCTGTCTTTTGGTGTCGTCCAGAACAGAAGAGCAGGTTAAGAGCATGAGCATGTGTGTATCACTTTGAAGAAAGAGAAACCAGGTATTCTGCTACAGATCGGAGAAAAACCCAACGAAGGAAGAGGCGAAAGCTGGCTCTGCAGAGTGCCTTAAAAATGACTTTAATTAGGAAATTCTGAGTCGTCAGTCTTTGGATGTTACATAAACTCAAACAGATGTTGCATTTCACTTCTCTGGGATTAAAAAAAAAAGTTAAATACAGTATGTATTGAACAACAACAACAAAATATGTTTTCTCTTTAATTTGGTCCTTTAAAGATGCAGTGTTTCGTTTTCTGCAAAACCTGGGGAAGCCCCAGGAACGAGCTAGCTTCGGAGTGCACAGAGGGCAGATGCAGGGATCCTGCCCAGCCAGGAAAGCTCTGGCAGGACCAGGCAGAATGTTGCAGTCAGATTTGGTCTAAAAGACAGTTTTGAGATGAGAAAGAAGCATGGACAACCGTAAGGAAAAGAAAGGCATCCTCCTTCTTCACCCTAGTGATAAACTTCTGTCTTAGTTGGTTAGGGTTGCTATAACAAAATAAACCATAAACTGGTTGACTTATAAACAACAGAAATTTACTGCTCACAGTTCTGGAGGCTGGAAAGTCCAAGATCAAGGAGTCAGCAAATGCAGTGTCTGGTGAGGGAGGGCCTGCTTACTGGCTCACGGATAGCTGTCTTCTTGCTCGGTCGTCACGAAGTGGAAGGGCCACTGAGTTTCTTTGGGCCTCTTTTATGGCAGCACTGACCCCATTCCTGAGGACTCCACTCTCATGACCTAATCACCCCCCAAATGCCCCACTTCCTAATACCATCACTTTGGGGGTTTCCATATGAACTTGGGGGAGATACCAGCATTAGACCACAGCACTATCCTACTCTATGGCTCGGTGCTATGAAACTGGGAGGAGAACATTCTAGAAACACTTTCCCCTCCATCCCTTCCCCACTACCATTTCATCCTAGAGCACCCTTGACCAGTTTCTGTCTGCTTTTGCTGAATGATTTGCCTTTAGCTTAACCTTTGCCACCTAGCACCCGACCAAAACAGGTTTTTTTTTTTGAAGAGCCTTGAGTTCCTGACGGCAATTCAGTTTCTGGAACGTTCCCTTCTCTCCCTGAGAGTTGCATTTGTAAATGGTCAGACCTCATCGACGATGCAAGACTTGGAAGTGTAGGGTTGGGAGGGAGGCCTTGAGGCGTACTTGGATTCTGAGAACTCTGTGAGGTGGGAAGGGACGGAAGACCACAGCTCTGCCAGCCCCAGCCCATCAGAGGCCTCCTCCTGCCCGTCCCGCCGCTGGGACCCTCACCCTGCGGTTCTGCTTAGAAGCCAGCCCCTGGCTGGGGAGCACTGGGCGTCATCTAGCTAACGGCTGTTCTCCACTGGGCCTTTTATTGAAACCTGTCGTGGGTGTTTTCCACCAGAGATGTGACCCCTCTGTGGGGTCAGCAGTTTTAAAAGGGCTGAGAGTCCCTAATTCATATTCGTTTCCTCTCGCTCCATCCCCCTCCCCCCATCTCCCCCCCCCCCCCCCCTTCCCCCCTTCGGCCAAAGGGGGACCGGACCGGCAAAAGGGGGCTTCGGTTCTTGCAGGAAGGGTTGTTGATTGTTGTTTTCCCTTTTTGGAAAAAAAGGGTTTTTTAGGAAAGGACCTTTTACCTTTCTTTTCTTGGGTTGGGGTTTTCCTTTTTTTTTCCTTTTTAAAAATTTTAATAAATATAGGGGGTACAAGTTGAATTCCATTATGTGTATATACTGAGAGTAGTGGTGGAATTTGGGCTTTTGGTGTACCCACCACCTCAGTAGTGTACGTTGTACCTCGTAGGTACTTTTTCACCCACCACCCCCTCTCACAGGAGGTACATTTTTAAACATACATATTTATAACCTAAGATGCCCCCCAGCCCCACCTAGCTAGCTGAGCAGCACATGCTCAACTCTGTGGGAAGCAGCTTCCTAGATACATTCTAGGAAAGGGATTCCTGCATCATCTCTGTCAGAAAACATGATCTCTCTGGAAAGAACAACTTGCACTTTTATCTTTGTTCATTCAGTTCAAGAAATTAACAATGAACTGGCAGTTGCTGCACACACTGCAGTACACGCGTGTGTGTGCACTCCGCTGCAGTGCGTGAGTGAGCGTGGGCAGCACATGCTGACGCTTGAGACAGACTGCAAATGTAAATGGCATTTCTTTCTCACTTAGAAAAAAAACTGTAAAGTTCCATGTTAATGATTTGGAAAAGGGAACAAGGATGTGTTTGACTTTTAAAAAACCAAACTGTCATATATTTAAAGAAGACACTTGAGGGAGCGAAGACAGAATAGTCAAACAAAACCTTATCTTTATTGTTCCCTATATAAAGAAATGGTATACCTGCCTAATCAACATGGGCTACACATATGGTCGCATTTGTTTTTCCAATTAATTACTTGAACCCTTTTGTGTCCTGTTAGTGGAGAGCATAGTAATCCTTTCTTGAGGTTTCCCTGGCCCTCCCACCTCCAATTTCTCAAGAACCTTGGGTCTTGAACTCAGTCCCAAGGGAGTCAAAACACCAAGCAGAAAGAACAGTGTCATATTAACCTGTTCCTGCCTGCCTTGTGCACTGTCTGAGGGAGGATAGCAGTTCATTGCAGCCAAGAAGCCCAGGACACAAGTTGTCACCTTGGTGCAGCCTTGGGCTTAATTCTGTGCCCAATCACTATTCTCAAAGCACCATGATGCCAAGGGGCTGGGACTGCAGACCCGTCTAGAATCAGTCCTGTGTTGTGCTGAAACTGCCTCCCTTACAAATCACTAAGCCTCTTCATTATGACCAGGTCAACAACCTAAACCCCTTATCCTCTCCAAATAAGTGGCCTCGTCACTTTTCCTGGAATCTGAGCCCTGGTCTGGGCCCCCTTGAAGAGCCCAGTGGGCGTTCCGATTTAAAACTTTTGGGAAGAGGAGTTGAGCTACCATTCCTTGCCTTACAGAAAACCCCAGGTTCCCTCTGCAAGTTAACCCACTTCTTTCATGCTCTCCACATCTTTCTTTCTCCCTAGTACGTTACATTTACTTAAGTAAAGGTGACCAGTGGAGTGATCTGAAGAGCAAAAGGATCTATTTTTCTAGCAAGCACTTACTAAGTGACTGTCATGTGCCAGACTATTCTAAATGCTAAGAATTCCTCAGCAAACCAAAGAGACAAAAATTCATCCCTCCTGAAACTTCCATTGTAGTGGAAAGATAGATAGACAATAGATGTAATAAATAAGGGAATTATATGTGTTAGGCAATGAGAAGTACTATGGGAGGAAAATAAAAGAACAGATGAGGGGAACCAAGAGGGCTGGGAGAGTCGCTTCCAGGTGGTTTTCTGTCTGGGCTATAACAAGAAGCAGCTGTCAATTACATTCACTAAAAATAACAATAATACTATTCTAATTTTGGCCTCCCCAAGCACCCTTTTTAATCTCTGCATTAATTGGGCATTCTGAAAACTTCAGATCTACACCTTATACATTTCAAGGCAGAATTAGGTTTATTGTCTCCCATCTTTACAGCAATTCGTGGAGATTCCATTTTACTGTGGCTGCAAAAGATGAAACGACTTTCCCAAGTTCTCACAACTGCTGAGTGTCAGAGGATCCCAACATGGCTCTTCTGACTTCACTGTATGGTTTCCTCAATCCATTTTTTTAAAGAACACATAACATGAAGCCAGAAGATCTAAAATAGAGACCCATCATTGCGCCTACTCCTAGGTGTACAAAACCTTGAAAAGTTGGCTGCAAACACGAGATAAAACTGTATGTAAAATTACATTATGAATCATCAGGCACAGTACAATGTGAGGCTTTTGGGTAACTCTCCAAGCTGTCTCAAAACCCCACTTACCTACTATCTGTGTGATTCATTAAGTAAATAAATATAATTAAAAGGAGTTATTCTTATAGCATGCTGCACACAACTCCCAAAGCAATCCTTACTCAAGTTGGAAAAATTAAAACAGTATATATTTTCTGTCTATAACCCAATTATCTGATTCAAATGGGTTCACAGCAGGCTCACTTCTGAGGTGTTCTCTAAAAGCATGTGCATAATTACACCAAATGTATTGAAGAAGCACTGACGCATGGTCCTTACTATGAGCCTCCAAGCAATCTGTGTGCACAACATTCATGTGGCAGATCCCAGGGGTGTAGCTGTGGCTGTGAACAACCAGGTGGATTTATTGTCCCATTCCAGACCTCCACTTCTTCCTTGTTATCCTGGTCATTGGAGAATGCCCACCAGTGAACAGAAAGTGTCACATTGGCCTGAAAGACAGCTGGTACTGAGTCCATCAGTCTGAGCTGGTAAATAAGACTGAATTCTGCTTCTGGAAGAGCTTAGAAGGTGCAAACTATAAGAAGAGAAGCGGCCAGGCGTGGTGGCTCACTCCTGTAATCCTAGCACTCTGGGAGGCCGAGGTGGGCAGATTGCTCAAGGTCAGGAGTTCGAAACCAGCCTGAGCAAGAGCGAGATCCTGTCTCTACTATAAATAGAAAGAAATTAATTGGCCAACTAATATATATAGAAAAGATCAGCCGAGCATGGTGGCACATGCCTGTAGTCCCAGCTACTCGGGAGGCTGAGGCAATAGGATCGCTTGAGCCCAGGAGTTGGAGGTTGCTGTGAGCTAGGCTGACACCATGGCACTCACTCTAGCCTGGGCAACAAAGCGAGATTTTGTCTCAAAAAAAAACACAAAAAAATAATTTAAAAAAAAAAAAAGAGAAGAGAAGCATACTCTACTTTCTGAGAAGGTTCTGAAAGCTAGTTGCCCAATCCCTGTGCTTTTTTGCCCTTAAAAAACATTCTGTAAAAATAAAAGTAAAACGTACCTTCAGAGAGCTGCCAGCTGCCAGATGTTGCTAGCTCTCTGTGCTCACCATGGTCAGGCTGGAAGACTTCAGAACAACTAGGGAAGACAAGTAACCTCCCACCCAGCCCCCCAGCTAGGGGGTGTACAAAAGCATCCCTGCTTCTGAGGTTCCTCACCATCACCCCAAAGACAAAGATATCTTAATGAGACCAGGTTCAAGATAAAAGAAGTGGGCGAGTCTCATTTTCAGGGAGGACAGAGAATGAACCAAGATAGAAGACGAAAGAACTCCAGGAATAAATTTCAAGGATATAGGGATGCTAAAATCATAGTTTCTAAACCAAAAATTCATGTTGTGTTGCTAACATGATCAAGAAGCAAAA